ACTCAGATCCACGAACCTGTGTCGCGGTGTGAGAAGACAGAATCACGACACCGACACGTCCCTTCAACTCCCGAAGTTATCCTTCACGTCCAGACCCAATGCTAGCTACAACATCTTTAAATTACTATTAGTATTATTTGAAGTTAACATTATAAAATACGTAGACTTACACCACAAAACTTAAATTATTACTAAATTTTTTTAAAATTGGGCAATTTCAGCATTATGGAGGAGATCCAATTCCCAGATAATTAAATATTTTAATAAATTGGCCTATGTGAACCACACTGCACAAACCAAAAGTAATACTCACCGGATGAAGAAGGGTTGACTCTCTCCAGAACATAAAATCTTTATTTTATTTTCCGTGTTCGCATTTATGAGGAAAAACAATCCGAACGTGACCGTTCTCTGGAAGCAGCACTAAAACTTTCACATAGCTTAAACATGCAAGCACAAAGCCTTTCTTTAAAGTAAATTTCGTTTTAAAATAATTATCTTAATTTAAATCAATGTTTCATCAACCAATTACTAGGATTTAATAATAAGAAATAAATTGCAGACAATAGGCTAGGCCTAATCACGACGCTGAGACGCGCGGCACGTGAACTGAAGCTTGTCTCATGAACCGAAAGTCAGCGTATAAGGTATCCTCACAGACATATATATTGAAATGTCTACTTTTAAAGACAACCATTCAAAATGAAAGAAAACAGACTGCTCTCTGCTTATGTGGGCTAATCCGTATGAAAACTGAATTTCTCTCTGACTCCTCTTCAATCTTTCTGATTTTAGAACATTTTTGTAAAAGTGACTTTTTAATTATTTATTTCAAAAAAATTAAAAATAAGTTGAGTTTCAGCCTCGTTAAATTGCATTTATATATGTTAATCTATTTGGTCAAATTAAGCTATATAAAATAAATAGTTTATCCCTTAAAATGCTATGGATTTTGAAAGATATCAAAAAAAAAAAAAAAAAAAAAAACGGGCAAAAAAACTTTAAAAGCGATTTTCTTAGGTTTTCAATTGGAAAAAAAGGGCAGACGACCAGAATTCAAATCTGTATATCTTTACAACCATTCAAGGTATGACCAAGGTATCATTTGAAAGCTTACAGTGTCCTCTTTCCATTAATATCAAAATCTCAATTTTTAAATTTGGGTCACTGTGACTAATTTTGCTGGATCAGGTCGGTCACAAATGTGTTTTTTATTGTAGTATTATTTTATACAGAAATACATTATAATTATATATAATATACAAAATATAACCGTGGGCGCGATTAAACAGTGTTACAATAAAACTCAACATTGTGTTTTTTAAAAATAAATTCAAATAATACAAATCCCGAAATTGCGCTAATTTTAAAATTAAACTAAAACTCATGGCTGCACAAGCATTCATAACTGTGCGCGCCAACAGCGAGGAACCAGCAGAACAGAGTGAACGTTCATTCTGTTTAGTTCAATCCTACTTAATAGGAATTTATTTAAAATGCTTGCTCTACTCCACAACATTAATGTCTTGTGCGGATATCTGTATTTTGACTTTCGGTTTTAAGTAAGCGATTTAAAAGTTCCCGAGTCCCAGCGGAGTCACACGTTGATTAACCGGTGGGAATATACACAATAGGCCTAACTGATATTGAACACAAGAGGGCAGTATAGCACTACGTATGACTCAGATTATTTTTTCTTCTTCTGAATTTTACAACCTGGCTGTTTTTGAACGTAAACATAATTCTTAAATGAAAAAAGGGAAAAACTGCTTTAATTATAATATTTGTATAATTTAATTTAGAAACAAATGATGTATAATTACATTTTTAGAAGATATGAGGCTTTTAGTGTTTACTTTTTTGACATTACTTTAATCTTTTGCCAAAGTTGCACATGCCTACTGGCTAATAAATGTGATGTATCTGTCGAGCTATCTGTATCTATCTGTTTCAAGCAATTTCAAGCATGCTAAGAGTCCCAAAAGTATCAAAAAAGAATGTTAAAGTTTGATTTGTTGCCACAGCAACAGTATCAAAGATATCAAGAATCCATTCACAGGTCTACATCTGCTGTATTTTTACATTATACAGATGAAGTTTGAAGCAAATCGGTTAAAAATAAGAGGGTGATATCAAAGCATTTTGAAAGTGACACACTTCCTGCTGCCAGTTGGTGGCGCTATAACTTTGACTCACAATAGTCACATCCATGTAATCAGCCTCTTACAGTGAACACACTGCTGAAGTTTCATCAAGATCAGTTAATGTATGCTGAAGTTATAACACACTTCCTGTTTCACGTTTCTCGCCATAATTTTGTTTCCTCGCCACGGCCAAACCGTTCGAGATATCAAAAATCCCCTCGCAAACTTTCATCCTCAATGCCTTGACTTCATGCTGACCGAGTTTCGTGCCGTGTGTTTGAATTCTCTAGGAGGAGTATTGCACATTCCATTGCGAGCGTTTTACAAACAAACCTCAATAGCCGACTTCCTGTTTGGCTGGGGTAAAAAGTAAGAGCGTGAGGTATAGATGAAACGATGAGATCAACATGTGTACCGAGTTTCATATTATTACATGCAAGCGTGTTTGATTTATGGACCAAGTGTTCGGACCCCGTTCCAGGGGGCGCTGTCTAGCCCCCCTGCCACACCCAGGTACCATCTTCAGCCCGGCTCTGATGGCTGTGGGATCTGACCTGTGTGCAAAGTTTCAAGAGTTTTCAAACCCGTTAAGGGCCCCAAAAGCCGCTAAGAGTCTCAAAATCATAAAAAAAAAGAATTTTAAAGTTTGATGCGTTGCCACGGCAACAGTATCAAAGATATCAAGAATCCATTCACAGGTCTTCATCTGCTATGTATTTACATTATACAGATTAAGTTTGAAGCACATCGGGTAAAAATAAAAGGGTGAGTTCAAAGCATTTTGAAAGTGACACACTTCCTGCTACCAGTTGGTGGCGCTATAACTTTGACTCACAATAGTCACATCCATGTGATCGTCCTCTTACAGCGAACACACTGCTGAAGTTTCATCAAGATCAGTTAATGTATGCTGAAGTTATAACACACTTCCTGTTTCACGTTTCTCGCCATAATTTCGTTTCCTCGCCACGGCCAAACCGTTCGAGATATCAAAAATCCCCTCGCAAACTTTCATCGTCAATGCCTTGACTTCATGCTGACCGAGTTTCGTGCCGTGTGTTTGAATTCTCTAGGAGTAGTACTTCAAATTCCATTGCGAGTGTTTTATGAACAACCCTAAATAACCGACTTCCTGTTGGGCTGAGGTAAAAAGTAATAGTATGAGGTATATATGAACGATGAGATCAACATGTGTACCGAGTTTCATATTATTACATACAAGCGTGTTTGAGTTATGGACCAAGTTTTCGGACCCCGTTCCAGGGGGCGCTGTCTAGTCCCCCTGCCACGCCCGGGTACCATCTTCAGCCCGGCCCTGATGGCCGCGGGTTCTGACCCGTGTGCTAAGTTTCAAGAGTTTTTGAGCATGTTTAGGGCCCCAAAAGTGCCCGAATAGTCGTATAAATAATAATAATAATAATAATAATAATAATAATAATCCTAAGGAAAACAATAGGGCCTTCGCCCTTTCAGGGCTTGGGCCCTAATAAATAATCCTTAGGAAAACAATAGGGCCTTCGCCCTTTCAGGGCTTGGGCCCTAAAAATAGAACTGATGCTATGATGTATAATATGATGAGAAAATTAAAGTACAATCCTTTGACCTTGGATACATGTACATCTATTTTTTGAGAAAAACTAAATAAGGAACCTTTAAAATGGCATAAAAGGGGCACTAATACGTACCTCTTTTTATGGGCTTTTCTGACTTCACTGAATTCACTTTTGCAATTGCCATAATTACGAGTTTCCTACTAGTAAACAGATCACGTCAAACTCACAATTACAACTTGGAAACTCATAATTTGAAGTAACTTGACAGACTCTGTCAAAACAGCGACAACCACACACTAAAACGTCTACTACGCACCTCTATACATATATGCCATTTTGTATGACTGTTACCTGATTAGATTTGTTCTTTAAAACTGTGCAAGAGCATAAAGAGGTGGTTTAATATAGCGTTTAAGTATTTTGCTGTGGTATTATGGTATTTTTCCTACGTTCAATTTTGATGTTATGAGCATTGCTATTGTAACGTTTCTGAAGATCTGCCCCGCTCTGAAAATAATCTTCTGGTAATTATTATAATTTTGACATGACACAGCATGACACTAACCTTTGCATTTGACTCCTGAATGCTGCTTTTGTCATTTTGACATTTTCACTAAGATGTCAGGCTTCAATTTCAGTGCGGTAAATAATTTATAATTTAGTTTTGCTGGCTTAAACAGCAGTGATACTGGAGATTATACTGATGAAATAGATTAAATAGTATCAAAGGCTTTGGTGCACTCATTACTATGAATAGGAGAATGTGCAACATGAAATAAGTCTTGCGTTCTAAATAAAATGGCCAGTCGGCAACTGGTCATCGTGTCACTGCTCAGTGTGCTGAGACACAGTCAGTGCATGAGACATGCTCTTAGAACTGCACAGGCGCATTGACTGGACCAACCTAAACGTAAGCTTTTTTATTATCCGAGTTTGGTTCATGACAGATTTTGTTAATGATTTGAAATATTTTATTTAAATGTTAGTGAGACAAGTAGTTTTGTGAGATTTCAGGATTTCCCCATTTAAATCTGGTCTTGGATGCCCTCATTAGCTGCCCGGAGGTATTGCAAATATGACCACAGAGTGAACTTACTTTCATTGTGATGGTCATGTGATCTTAACATGCCACTTGGTCTTGTGCCAGTGCACAGTGTAAAACTGATTTTTGTGTGATTTTAATCACTTTATTTCATAATCCTATTAATTGAAATTGTGTAAATTGTACTCTGGTACAATCGGGGCTCGTATTGTTTTTTTCAGGCATTTTTCGGGGCTCATGTATTGTTTTTTTTTTTTTCAGGTGTTGTCAGACCAAGGTCTCCAGTTGTGCCCAATTCTCCACTCTCTCTCCACACAGGTAACACAGCCGGCGTGCACACCAGTCCTTTATATGCTAGTTTAATTAGATGCCTGTAAATAAAAGACTGTAATGACTCCCATCCATCTCGTTGGGACCACAGAGACATGGCTATCAGTGTTAGTTAACCCCTGCTCGGCTGGGGCGGATAGGGGCCACACATCCATAATCACAGAGCCTGACACTTGTGGTACACCGCCCGTTTGATTAATAATCGCAAACATGCCTGACCCACAATGCATTTCCCCAGCTGCTAGGAGAGGACAGCTAATACAAATTGCTTACGTCCACTTATTTATCCAGCTGTTCAAATCCAGCAATTACCTCACTTTGGCAAACCTAATGCAGTTTTGGGTGCAAGTCTCAATTAGGGCTATTAGAATGTTAAATTTGTCCTTGCTTCAGGAAGCCCTGAAAGCGTCATAGAAAGAAGGAAAAACAATGCTATATGCATAGAATACAGTATAAAATATAAATAGCTACAAATAAGTATATATAATATATACAAATAAAATAATATAATTTGCATATATATATATATATATAGATGTAGTATATTGGTTTTTTGTGTGTGTTTCTTTGTCCTATTCAGCCTTATTTAAAGGCCATAATAAAAAAAAGTCTAATGTAAAAAAAAAAAAGAGTCTCCAAGCAAAAGAGACAATGCGTTAGAATTTGTTTAGACTTCTCATCTCTCATGTGATCTGACGGTACTTTAAATGGTAATATATTGTCTGTGTTATAGCTGCTGGATGAAGACCGAATGCTTATTATATCTGAGACAGAGAAGCTGTCAACCGCATGTCAACAGCTTCAGGTCTGTGCCAAGACTCCGGTTCAGGGGAAGAGCGCCATCTTTCAGAAGGTAATGCAATATAACCGCAGGCCTGAGCTTGTGAATCAGAGCAGATGAGACATAAACAGGGATTTTGTTTGTTGAACTTGACAATTTAATCAAATAGTTAACTTTAATTTATAAATTAGAATTGGATGATTCAAATTAGATAGATTCATCTTGATATAGGTTTTTAAAAAGAACGAGATAGACACGGGTCACTGCCACACATGATTAGATAATAAATCTGTTTCCCTTTGCAAGAAGACCCTGACCTTACTCTATCGTGACTCCATTTAACCTGATAAAATGGCATGCTGTCTAGGGTCATCCTTCTGTTTTGATAAAGCAAAGGTCACAGCCAAAGGCGGGTTTAAATAGGTTTATAGAGGCTATGTTTGTGTCATGCTGTGGAACCAAGAAAACGATCTCCGGAAAACAAGCTCAATCAGAATCTCCCAGCATGCCTCACCCTTGCATGGTTTCCAAGCATTTTATTTAGAAAAAAAAAACAACTATGTGTGAATCAGTCTGTTCCACAAATCACCTGTCAGATATGTATAGATTTTTGTCACAGCAGACTGATAGCATGAGCCCAAACAAGCAGCCATGTTATACTTGTTATTTTTTATTTATTTGCGTAGTTTGGTCGGCTAATGATGCATCTGTCTCTCGCATTGTTCAGGTCGACTCATCCATACAGAATACCAAAGGCATCTTGACCGTAGTGGTTTACTTACTGCCGATCTGTAATAAGCTCATCAGAAAGGTTGGTAGCAACATGAAAATTTGGGATTCATTTTTTTTTTAAATGTATTGGTATAAATTATTATATAGAGCTAGTAAGTCCCGCCCATCTGTAAATCTCCAAGTGGACCTCTAGGTTGAAAAAGCGTCAATGCAAGTGAATGAGAGAAAATAATTGTTTTCTGATCCCGTTTGAATTGTGCCATGAATGTGAACATATGTTGTCCGTGAATTTTTTATATAATTTCTCATGTAACGAGTTTGACCGTATATTGTATGATTCTTTGGCTAGCAGTTGTGGAATAGACATAACGAGAAAGACTACACGTCGCATATGTGACGTCACTGCATAACACATTTTCCCTCCACAAATCACGGTGCGTTAATCTAAGGAATTAGATCGAGATACCTATGTGTTTTGTACGGTGAAGTGCACCAAAGACATAGGCATTTTAGCGGGATCCGTGTGCTAGTGGTGGTGACGTATATCAAAACGCGTCGAAAGCAGCGAAGAGTTGTAGTCCACAAAGTGCTCTCACACAAAGTCTAACCGTATGAAAATCCTACCTGCTAAATTGTAGCATTTTTTACATGAAAAATTATATAAAAAATTCACAGACAACATATGTTCACATTCATTGCAAATTTCAAACGGGATTAGAAAATAATTATTTTCTCTCATTCACTTGCATTGACAATTTTTCAACCTAGAGGTCCAGCAGGGTTAGCGGAAGGGGCGGGACTTACCAGCTCTATATTTAAGTATGTTTACTCATTTATGTATATTTTTATATTTATATTACCTATGATGTCATCAAATAAAAACTTTTTTTTAATATATGGTATGCTTAAATTCACTTGTAGCTATTTACACTTCTTTTGACATCTTTTTAAAAAATGTGTATGATCAAATACTAGCATGTTTGTGTTTAACTTTACCTTATACCTTATAATTCCAGTGTCAATCCGAATGCAGTTGTCTGTCTTCTCCTCAGCACTGGAGGGAGAAGCAGCTGAGCACGCCTGTCAGCGAGGAAACTCTGAACGGCAAAGGCTCCAACGGCTTTGGTGTCAAATCCCTGGAGCAGCACATGGCCAATCTAACATTCCTGGAGAGCAAATAGATCTGAAAACCTAAGGCGATCCTGCCTGTCCTCCCATATGCAGTGCATGGTAATGCACTCGCTCACAACGTGCCATTCTTTGTGATTCTGCTCATTCGCTTTGTGGTGTACGATGGTGTTAGCGTTTCCAGGCTCATTCCAGATACCAAAAGATATGGAAGAAAAACCCTTCATTGCATGTGTTGAAGTCATTATGCGACTGTTTCAAGTGTAATGGCTGGTAAATAAGCTACGGTTTTAACCGAAACAATATTCAACGGCGTTTCTCGCGATTAGCCAACATTGAGGTGTACATTATAAAAAGTTTTGATGCAAAAAAAAAAAAAACAGCACATTGTATTTAACATAACTGCCTCATGTTCAAGTTGATGCCAAATATATCTAGTTTTAATCATCTTCCTACACTGGTCTACTCAAGTGTAAAACACAACTTCAGTGACTTTGGATATTACTATGAGACATTAGCATCTTGGTGTTCTGGTTGAGAGTTTACAGCAAGGGAAGTTACTTTCCAAAGAGGCATTACTGAAGGATGTTAAAGCAAAATACCATTTCCACTTTTAGAGACAAGTTCATCCTAAAATTATTTTTTGTCACCCTCATGTCGTGTATGACTTTTATTCTGTCAAACACAAAAAAAGATATACGCCGGTCGGCCAAAAAAAAAAAAGTCACTGTTTGGATTTAATAGGCAAATAAATTTTCATTTCTTAAACAACCATGTAGGAAGACGCATCATGGCCATATTCCAGGAAGACAACGTTAAGATTCATCAGGCTCAAATAGTAAAGAATGGTTAGGAGGGAGTGTGAAGAATCATTTTCACACATGAATCGGCACCTCCAAGTCCAAATTAAATTCATTGAAAGTCGTGTGCTCTTTATGGAAATAAATGTTGTGACTTGAGATGTCTAGACTCAGAGGTGCCGATTCATGTGTGAAAATGATTCCTCACACTCCCTCCTAACCATACTTTCACAGTTTAAGCCTGATGAATCTTGACATTGTCTTCCTGGAATATGGCCTATATGCATCTTCCAACATGGTTGTTTAAGAAATGAAAAGCTACACACTCCATCAGTTAGGGTTAGAAGAACTCTTGCCAAACATATTATGCTAGAAACATAATAATCACAATAATGATCCAATCATACACTCGTAGCATTTGCCTATTTAAATCCAAACATTTTGGCTGGGGATTGTATTTTGAAGTTCCAAAAAAATGTTTTTATCCATATAATGAAAGTCATTGTATGAACAAAAACAGTTGAAACACATTTTAAAAAGATCCTTTTATGTTCCACAGAAGACCGTAAAGGTTTGGAATGACACGAGGGTGAGTAAATGATGACAGTGTTTTCATTTTCGGCTGAACTGTCCCTTTAAGTGTACTTCCTTGTAATAGTATTGACTGCCTTGTAGGTCACTGTGATTTCTATTTTTACTTCAGTCCTAACAATGTAAGTCAAGCTTTGGTACATTAACCTTAAAGGTTATAGTGAAGAAGGTATATAAATCAATAGTTTAACTTTAGGCTGTCGTGTACTGGAGAGCAACTTTTTAGCGTGGCACAGATTAAAAGGCTCTTCAGAATTGGGTTTCCACTCACACACCAATTGCAGTTGAAAATGTTCCTCTGATTTATACTGCAGTCAATCAAACCCTAAGCTTTAGAGATGATTGTGCAGCTATGACCTCAAGTTGTATTAGTGTTGGACCATTGAATGATTGTTAAATCAGAAAAAATCTAAATATACGTTATTTTTCTTAAAATATTAATGACTGAGTGATTTATTTTTGCTCAAAGCATGAAATCTGCGGTTTTAGACATTTCGTACTCCGTTTTAGACTAAGGTCATCAATTTATCTATGAAGTATTTAATCTCCCCCATTAAAGGAGTCGTTCGCTTTAAAAAAAACAAAAAACTTTTGCTGATAATTTATTCACCCCCATGTCATCCAAGATGTCCACGTCTTTCTTTCTTCGGTCGAAAAGAAATTAAGGTTTTTGATGAAAACATTCCAGAAGTTTCTCCTTATAATGGACTTCATTGGGAACCAAACGTTTCAAGGTCCAAATGAGAGTTTCAGTGCAGTTTCAAAGGGCTTTAAACGACACCAGACGATGAATAAGGGTCTCAGATTTGTTAATTTTGATGAACGAGTTCGAACAGGAGAGTCACGAATGTGCATCACAGAACAGAGCAAGACGAGCATTTGTGCTTATAAAACTTAAACTTTTTTCGTTTTTTTAAATGACCCATCGTTTCGGCAGATAAAACCCTTATTCATCGTCTGCTGTCGCTCAAAGCCCTTTGAAGCATCATTGAAACTCTCATTTGGACCTTGAACCGTTTGGTTCCCAATGAAGTCAATTATATGGAGAAAATCCTGGAATGTTTTTCAAAAACCTTAATTTCTTTTTGACTGAAGAAAGAAAGACATGGACATCTTGGATGACATGGGGGTGAGTAAATTATCAGCAAAAGTTTTTTTTTTTAAAGTGCACTACTCCTTTAACATTTATATAAGTGGTGTTGGGTACATGTTCAGCTATTGACTCAATCCTATTGTAAATACATGAAAGTACACACTACTGATCACAAGATTCAGTAAGTTTTCTCTTATGCTCAATGATACATTTATTTGATAAAATATATTATACAATAATTTATTCCTGTGATGGAATAAATGAATTTTCAGTTACCATTACTCCAGTCTTCATCGTCACATGATCCTTCAGAAATAAGCTGATTTGCTATCAAGAAATATGTATTATTATAAGTGAAAACATTTTGCAATATGTTTGCTGTCGCTTTTGATCAATTTAATGCATCCTTACTGAATACAAATATTACAATAAATTGCAATAAATGAACATATGACAGCCACAGCCAGTTCAATGGGAATCTGCCCAGAAGAGATTGGTTCCTTTATTTAACATTTGCTCAACTACAATGATCTCCAGCATTGTTATAGCAACCAGACGGAAAATAATGTGTCTGTGAGGATATGGAATTGTTCCTCCTCAAATGAAAATAGTTCTTAGTGAAACAAACTAAACAACAACCATGAAAATGGCATCTTTGTGAATCTCATGAATAATGGTCCAACAAAATGGAACCCGGTGAAATCCAAGACTGTTCTGGATCCAGTAGAAAGGTCTTCATTCCTTCCAAGTCGTCATTTTCTCAAGATGTCTTTTTGAAATTTATGTGGCACAAAGCCATGATGCCATAGACGTTCTCACCTGCTTGAAGCAAGTATTCCTCAAAGGAGACTCAGCAGTTTTAAAGAGCAAGTTGATCTCAGCAAGGCTCTTCTTGTTGGTTTCTTTTCACAATAACCTCCTCATATTGTTCTCTGGTCAGAAGACCGTCTGTGATACTCTTACTCTCTTCAAATTTAGGTAATATAACTGCAATGTATCCTTCTGTGGAAGGCTGTGACAAAAACAATGAAAGCACAAGTCACACATGTGGTCTAAGGTTTGAAAAAAGGAGATTTTTCTTTTTTAAAAGATGTACTATGAGTTATGATGTATATACTCACCCTTTCCAATAACAGATCCGGCTTGTTCATAATGGCTTCATTCACTTCTAGGAGACGTCCTCTGATACAGCTGTGAAAATATAGTTTGAGTTGAGATCATTTTATGATTATAGAAACTGAATGTGATATATATCCAGAGGTGCTCTTTATAACCGACCTGTATATGGTGTATTCCTGTTCATCTGTACACGTTATTCTACACAGTGGTGCAAACTCTGTCAGGAACTGACCACCCTGCAGAATAAATTTTACATGATCAGGAAAAGAGTCAATTAAAATATATTAAAAAATTACTCACAATTATCATTAAATTCAAAAGGTACCCACTCGCTTTGACTTTCCAGACACCTTGTTCTTCAGACGGCTGCATCCGTCACTGATCTGGTAGTTTATGTTTTTAATCTTTCGTCCATTCTGAAGGATAGGATGAGACTCTGCAAGTGTGATGACGCATATTCTGATGAGAAGAAAATGTGAATTTAGAGATAATGGACACGTATAGCCCTGTGGACTTAAAAATAAAGTGGACATGTCATGTATGCATCATGAACATTTCCAACATGGTGTAATTTCTTTAAAAAAGAATAATAAACATGGTTGATTTTTATAGATTAAAACTGAAAGACTGAATCTGGGATTTATACAGATTTGAATATAAAACGTAATTGTTACGAGCTTTGATATTCATATAACAAAAATAACCATGTAAAAGTATAAATAGTTGAAGAAACACTAACAAAACTTCACAGTAAAGAGGGAATAAATATAGACTATTTAATATCTACCTACCTGTTGGAGTGCTGTAGAATGCAGTGATCCTCACATACTTTTCCCTTCAGATCTACGTCAGCATTTACACCAACACAGTAATTAATCAACATGTTTAACATGCAGAGTGTATATTTAAAGAAAATCACGCTTCAAATGCTAATATGAACTTGCTAATATTGACAGAACAGCATTGACAATACTGATACAGCACAACAATACAGTAAGTTACCTGTTCTATACCAGCGTGTGAAATATCGCTCGATTACTGATGGGGCTTTCTTTTCACTGTCTTCCATGTCAATATCCGTCGCTTAAAACAGAGATTATTTCAAAAAGAAAGAAAAAACTTTAGAGAGGTAAGGTTAGACAGTTTGGTCAGATACAAACAGAGACGCTTGAAGCCGGACGTTAAATTAAGCTACACAAAAAAAAAAACGTCCGACTTCCGCTCTGAATTTACATCCGGTTACGATAAATTTGTGGTGTCTGCGGTAATTTTGCATCACTGTGTCGTGCATATTTACTTTATATAATAATAAATGTTTACCAATTGTTTTTCAATCCCATTCAACGGTATTGTTAGAGAAACCTATTTCTACGAAATATTTCAGGAACGACTATCATGGCATATTCTCCCGGTTCTTTTTAACTGTAACACATAGCAGTATCGAAGATGTCAGCGTCTGTAATGGACACATGTCATGTCTCTTGTTGTGCTAATCGCACTCCCAATGTTGTGTCTTGGGGCAGAGGAGGTCTCATCGCATTTGGGACATGCAATTCAGTTGCTCTTTATAATCCACAGGTATGTAAAAGCTATGTAAGTGTACCTTCTGATAAAGCAGTTTAACATTAAATGTGTTTAGTGAACTATCATATAAGATGTGACTGCACTGATACTGTGACAGGTTCGTTTCACACTAATTGTATTTATTATTGATTGTCATCAGGAAATACGGATTGTCGAGTTACTTAATAAACATACTGGAAGGGTGAATGCTGTCCAGTGGGTTCATAAACAAGATTGCAGTAAGTTTTTGACTTTAACCATCATTAATAAATTATTTTTATGCATATAGACATTATATTTCAACTTTCTGTCATGGCTAGACACAATAAAAACAAAGGAACTTGTTGAAGTGTAAGCTGTCTGTTTCTTTAGGTCCGGAAACCCAGCTGGTATCTGGTGGGTCAGATAATAATGTGATTGTTTGGGATAAGCAGGATGGGAAGGTATGTGTTTACAATAACGATAAAAATAAATACTTTTGCTGACAAAATAATTGGGTCCTCTCTGTTATGCAGTATTTTTCTTTTTCTTTATTATCAAATTTTAAATCAACAACCTTGATATTTATTTTTTTCATTTCTACAACAATATACATTTTTTAATTTTACATAAATTTACTAGAACTGATGTTGCCATATTGTTTTAAAACCATGTACTCTGGTTCTTTGTATCACTTTCCATCTATTGTGTTTTGTAATACTTATGTAAAATGAAATTTGGAAGTGCTTTCTTTGGTGCCGGAAAAAATATACCACAAACAATATTACATATGACACAAAATATTAAACCTATTGTGAAAAGTAAACAATTATGTAGTCAAATATTTATAAATATTGCAACACATCCCTTGTTTTAAGAAATCCTTAGTGATGCTAATCTTTACTAACTGTTTGTAAACGGGAAAGTCGGTGGAAAATTCAAGAAAAAAAAACTGTAAAAAAAAGAAGAAAAAGAAATATTATGAAAATAGTTAGATTAGATATTAAATAAATATATAATCTATTAAATATATTAAATTAGTTTAAAATACATAAATAATAATAAAAATATTACAGAAAAGGAATGACCCAGCCGTGTTAATTATATATACTGTATATTCTGTGAACTTATCTTCTGGTATATTTGTCTATAAATGGATAATCATAGAACCTTAATTAGTGATTTGAGTTGAGTTTGTCCCTCTTCTGCTCAGTTCACAGCATGTGCAGTGTGTTCAGGACACTCAGGGCCCGTGTGTGCAGTGGACGCTGTGTCTCTGTCCTCCTCTCACTTACTGGTGGCCTCAGCATCATCTGACTCCACTGTTAAACTCTGGACATGCACCTCTGATACAGGTAAAAGAAGTGAGCTTTCAGTTCATTAGAGTGTGGATTGAAAGTACTCAATCTATTAGTGCATTTTTTTTTTTAATAAGTGTTCAAGGATTTTTCGAAATCTCCAAGCCTGACATCTGCTGGTCGGTTCTTGTAAATTATTACTAGGTCTTCATTCAAATTCATTACATATGCCGGTAGTTCAAAATCGATTTATTTGTCATCGTAGGGATAAAGTAGAATTTGCTATTTATTGTGACCAAGAACAACAGAGATTAAATAGTACATTAAACATAAACAGATCTGTTTATATGTAATGTTGTGGTGGATTTTTAATAGATAAGATTATTTCTGTTACTAACCATAAAAATCTGATTTTAGATTTTTATCTTATGATAAACTTTTATCACACTTCCCATTTTTAAGTCTGATGGTGACTAACTTTCCATTATACATCTAACAATAAAACAAAACAAATCTTACTTTCTTTTATTTAGGATGTAGCCATCAGACAAACTTTCAATATGATCTAACCTTCTAACAAACTTTTGACTCAATGTAAACTTGGTCAAATGGAAAAAAAATCTACTACAATGTACACTACCATTTAAATGTTTGGGGTCAGTAAGATTTAAAAATGTGTTTGTTCAGCAAGGATATAATTTGAAACATTTTAAAATGTCTTCACTACTAATGTAACTTTCTGAAGGATCGTGTAACACTGAAGACTGGAGTAATGATGCTGAAAATCAGCTTTGCATCACATGAATAAATTACCTTTTAAAATACTTTAAAATAGAAACCAGTTATTTTTAAATATAATACTATTTCACAATATTACAGTAATTTCTGTATTTTATTATCAAATAAATGCAGCCTTACTGAGCATACGTTACTTTTTTTTCCCAAAAACATTTTAAAAAAATCACACCAACCCTAATCTTTTGAATGGTAGTGCATTTGTATATATTTAAAAATGTTTAATATGTCTATCTAATACATGTGAGCATATCATGTATTTAGTGACTTTAAAAAAGTCACATTTACATAAGTAATAAGAAGAGGCTTTCTTTCTGATGTCCATTCTTACTGTTCAGAAAGAGAGTGATATTTCAGCGACCAAAGTTTGTGATCAATTCTTTGTTGAGTGTGTGAAAGCCATGTATGTATGGTTGGGTAAATGCAATATTTCTGTATTGTTTTGACAAAATTTGAGTCATGCGATGATGATGGATTACATCATTCCCCTAAGTTATCATGCAGAACCCACACTTCTTTTGAGTGCATTATTAGGTTTTCTGGGGAATTGGTCTCATTTCAATATATTTTTTGGATTATCAGTACCCCACTTTAAAATAATAAGTTAACTTGTCATTCATTCATAAGGATTCGTTATGGGTTGATTCTGGTGTTTGTGTTCTCTTCATTAGCTGAATGCCTCCAGACCGTATCTTTTGGGAGTGGGTTCATGATGGATGTGTCTTTGGTGCTGTTGCCAGGCAGCAGAGGTAAGCTGTGCCTGGAGCTCGTGTTGATTTGCTGGACTGTTCATCCCTATCACAGGTTAAAATCTCATTCAGTGCTTTAAAAATGTCCCGAGGCGACGTTAGCCTGCCCTCTTACATTATTCACGTCTGGACTGTAGCTGTATTTTACTTCTAGATGGCGTGAATAGACTTGTTACTTGTCTGCCTCGTGTGTCCATGTGAATGAGGAGGATAATTCCTTCTCTTGCAGTTCCAGTGCTCGCCTGTGGAGGAGATGACAGCAGAGTTCACCTGTACGTGCAGCTCAGTGGACAGGTAAGGCTGAGGGATCTTTACTTTATATTAATGCTGTCAAATCTGTTCAGTTTCTTTCTTCCATGTCATGGGGGTGTGTGAATGTTAACTGTGGTTGTTTAGTTTCAGAGGCTTCTGACCCTGACAGGACATGAGGATTGGGTCCGATGTGTGGAGTGGGCCTCGAAAGGTAGGACTTCTGAATGGAATAAATGTGCTTAGGGAATGATAGCTAAGATATTACAGTAACTGATAAACATATTTAAAATTTGACAGCCTTCTGGGAAAACAAATATATATGACTCATAACAGAGTGCTTTGTAGACTGTCCCTCCTATCCAGCTACCTACCAGAAGTTGACCAAATTGACTGTTTAGTTGATACTTGCTAACTAAAAATTATTTAGTAAAAAGAAATATGTCCCATCCAAATCAAGGAGACGGTATTGTCATGTGATAATAAGGCATTTGCTTAAATATATAACCGAGAAAGCATCACAAACTACTTTCTCTACTAATTTTACTACTACACATACTACTTTTACTTTACTTGTGTTTCAACTACTGAATGTGCAGATGGAGAGCTGTGGCTTGCCAGCTGTTCACAGGACTGTCTGATCAGAGTGTGGAGACTGTTTGCCAAGCCTGTGGCTGAACCGGACCATGCGACTGACGCTGTTATTAAAATGAAGGAGAACATCTTTCAAGTGTCTGGAGATGGTGAGGCTGGAGGCTTTGCGCGATTGTAATTTAGTTGTGAGATGACAGTTGGTTATTGTTCAGTTGAATAGTCTTGGTTGTCTTTGTTTTTATTGATACTTAAAGGGATAGTTCACTTTGAAATTAATTTTTGGTATGTTTTTGCTCACCTCAAGATGTAGGCGTCTTTGTTTCCGCAGTAGTTTCAATTTTGATATTTTTAGGTCAAACCGTTCTTGTCTGTCAGTCATATAATGCAGGTCTATGGTCACTACTTCAAAAAGCATGCACAGAGAAGTCCAAATTAAACATGATTTAATGACTCGTAAATGTAAGTACACATTGATGGCCTAAGACACGAAACGAGCGGTTTGTGTGAGACAACAAACAGTATTTATATAGATTTACCTCTTGTAACTCTTTGAGGTGGTGACCATAGACCTCCATTATATGACTGACAGACAAGAAAATTGAAAATACTGCAGAAACAAAGACACCTACATCTTGGATGCCCTTGCGGTAAGCTAAAACATACCAAAAATTAATTTCAAAGTGAACAATCCCTTTTAAAATCAAGGATTGTGTACATAGTTCTGTAATCAGAGTCCAAAAATGAACTTGCCAGGACCTAAATGTAAAAGCTGACTGGCCAGTAAAGACTTTATTTCATGAGTAAAGAAAAACGTGCAGGTTATTTATTTGCCCCTCACCCATAAATGAAGACATATTACTGTCATAACTTATGTTTATTTCTTTCTCTATGTTTGTGCTCTAGAATTTGCTGTGAGTCTTGAAACGGTGTTGGCTGGACATGAAAACTGGGTTTATGGA